AGTGTCACCTGCCTGCGGGTTTTTGAATGCCCTTTACTGAATTTTCCTTAACCCATTCGCGACCGCGCGGGATTGCGCAATAGCAGTAGAGTCAGGAGATTTTCTTCAATAAAATTTGAGTGGAGGGAGATTTCCTCTGCCCAGGGCTGGCGTAGATGAATGAGGGTATGAAGATTCTTTTCATGGAAGAAAACTTTCCAAATTCCATTTGAAACCGGCAGCCAACGGTGGATGCCATTGTCCCGAGTGAGATCTTTGTCAGCCACCGGTGGCTGACATTGTCACGAATGGGTTAAGGACATGAGCGCTCATTGCGTACCTACCGTACTCCAAATCGAACTTAGCACCCGACTATTTATAGTTTTGCACCAGTAATGCGATAGGGGCGCTATTGCAACATTATTCGGAAGTTACGTACTTGGCTCCATTGGTGTTCGCAAAACCATAGCAGGCTCTGTTTCCATTGTGGTAATGTCCATCACCGGAGTAAAATGAGCAGTGGCATTGTTGGCAGCTGAGCGTTTTGAATCGACATCGGACGTAAGCATACAGCCATAGATCACCAATCCGATGAGTGGCTTGAGCTTCATGACATCACTGCATCGAAGATGAGACTGGGAGTCACTCCATCAAAAGCCCACTATTCATGTGATCTGTGATATAGACAAAATACAACACTTGGTACACAGCTTTCATATTCAACATACAGCGAGCAATGAGCGGTCATGGGGTTGTGATACAAATGCTTCCCCTTACACTAAGCCGTTCGGGACCACGAATGCTTTCTTGGACGCCGTTTATACTTCGCGATCGTATCGGCGATCAATCGATTAAAGGCAAACCCCGGGAAGAGGTCAAACAGGTGATAAGAGCGCTACGTAGTGATGACTGATTACGGAAAGACCGGAAAGGAAAGCAAGAGAAATCTTTGGAACGCTAAATTAAGGGCCTAACCTTCAGTAAGGTCGGATGTGGTACGATGGCGAGACAGGGCGATCAAAGAAGACAAAACACGCGAGAGCACGCCGTTCGAGAGAGCACGCTGATCTCTACATCAATGCGGTGGGTGGGAAGCGTTGCAACGGGGGTCGATGGTTGCAGGCCCGTAAGGATTAGCGCCCTAATCGCGCAATTTTTGAAACTGTAGTGATTTGTGTAGGTGCGGACCTTACAATTTCCTAGCGGTATCCTTCCTACTAGTCGGGCCTAATTCTGGGGCTTGCCTTTAAGCGATTAAGCGATTCAAAAGGGAAAGTATACAGCCGCTATTGGGGGCATTCTCAAGACTAAGCCTAAAGGGATAGAACTTGGAAGAACGAAAATGGCTCACGGACCTAGAGTCTCTTCTCCTCAGTAAGAGCGTCAGTCCGTAATTAACAAAGAGCGACATATTTTACATTTTTACGTTTTAAGATGCATTAGCCAGCCATGCCCCGTATTTACATAGCGCCAATCTATAGTATCGCATCACGCGAGTGGCGATAGTATCATGAAGTAGGCTACACTTGGGGTGCTCGCTCCGAGTGAGCGAGCAAACCATTTGATAGTGGCCGTCATCACTTCCCAATCGTTTAATACCTAGATTACGCTAATATACAGATAGAACAGCAAGAACCTAATTACCCACGATTCCTTGCTAAGTGCTAATCGCTCAATCGCCTAATCTCATATACTATCACGAAGTATGAACGCTGCCTCAGATCCTTTCGTTTTTGTTTATATTGCCTTGTGTATGACACCTAAAACTATGGTACATTTCTCCGCACAGCCCTTAAGGCGTCGTTGAGGTAGGGAGGGGGAGGGGGAGCGGCATTCAAGTAAGTGAATACAAAGTGAAATACTTACGTACTTATGACTTGTATGGAAGTGATTCGGAGAGCGATTTGGCAGACGTTACGATATTTTATTTATCCTGACATTTCATTCCCCTCCTAGTTGGTCTTAACGGCTAGTGTCACCTCTGGCCGTTGTAATATTCGTAACTCCTGAGCACTCCTTCGACTTACTAAGAAGCATGAAAGTCTCTCCGTCTAATCTTTTTCCTCGTGGTGATTGTTTCGTTTGATGTTGATGGCTCCAGTTTGGTACTAACTGGGCCGCAGCGCCTGGAACGATATCGTATTCGTGATCAGGATCAGCACTTAACTTTATGAATACGTTTCTATGGGAAACTTTTCAACAACCAAACCGACGCTTTCTTCCCACCTCCTTTCCATGGAGCCTCCTCAAGGTCCGTCGCGCGGCGAAGGAAGAAACCCAGATGCGTCAAAGGACGAGTCGCAGCGCGTGCTATCCGGTACGTAGTATCGTAAACCCTATTTTATCTGACGCCCTAACCGCTTCCGTAGCGCGCTCGACTCTCCTTAGTCCTTTGCGCTCTGGTTCTCTCTTTCGCCACACGAAGCTCTTGGGCGCACCCTTCCCATAATGAAATGATACAGGATCAACAAGAACAAAGCGCCACAAGCAATACAGCGCCAAAACCCGAAGATATAATCAAATTTTTCTGAAATCCGTGAAGAAAGCCAAGTGCGTGGCGCACTATAAAAAAGAGAATCTATCCATCCTTTATTTTCTCCTGCAGTTACCCTCTGTAAAATTGGCCTGATTGTCGCAGTCAGGGTTTGTTTTGATTTCACACATACACTCTATTTCGGGAACCAGAAGAGCGTCGTAGTGCAGACCATACACCACAAGTGACGACGGCCAAGAAAAAAGAGAAAGCCCATTTTCTTGGCCGTCGTCACTTGTGGTGCGTGGTCTGCACTCGACGCTCTTCTCCTCTTCCAAAATAGAGGAAACAATTCATTCATGATTTTATCGCATGAAGTGATTCATTCGTAGCAAACAAAAACACATGAAATCACAACAAGTAATAAACAATAAAATAAACATTGCACAATATGACTGGATTTGTTATTTACACTTGACTAGATTCACTCAGCTGAGGCGATGCCGAAGATCAAGAACGGTCATGATCAATATACGAAGTTCAATGAGCTCATTAGATTAAGGACTAGATAAAATGCGGGACCAGACTATAATTGATACATTATTAAACAACTATAGACGCTATTCAATATGTACTGGCGCTCATGATTTGGGGGGGGGAAATTCAAAAAGTCTGAAGAACCGCGATGAGGTGAGCCTGGAGAGGGCTGGAATTGAGGGATAACAAAAATCATCCATCGCGATGCCTTCAGATCCCTTTCTCGCTAAAGGTTAGTCCAAAAAACCTGTAACTAGCTGACTCAGTTAGTGTGCCTCCGCCCACCCCCTCCCCCCTCCCCCCATGCCCCCCAACCTCTCCACCTCCCCAGTGGCATGACGCGTCGACAACTATTTACGAACCTTAACTTAATAAATGAAAGCATCTCAATAAAAAACTTATATCGGGCCAAATGTATGCTTTCTGAGTTTATTTCGCTAAAGCCGGAATTTAGCACGCAGTGTAAAAAAATTCACTCGTAAAATAAGTATCATTACCGCGCGCACAAATCAATACAATCAAAAAAACATGCATTGGACTGACATTGTTCAAGGTGCAAAGGAAGCGTAGTAATCTCAAAAATGCGCTTGCCTTCTCCTATACGCAATTCCTCCACCAGAGGCTGAAATTGAAACCTTCTAGCTAGGGCGAAAAAAGTACACTTTGACCCTTTTCTCGAAAGGAAAATCTATGGTCACCGAGTTCAACGTATGGCGAACTCACCGAAATGTTACACTCTAATGATCATAGGCACATATGAAATGAACACAAACAAAAGGTAGGCATGAGATTTGTTGCCAAAAATAGTGAAAACAACGAAAAATGGTCTAGCCAATTAGGGATTAAACAATAGTTAGCTTACACGAGGGTCTATCTTTTAGCATTACAACCGTGAATGTGCTACAGATGGAGACAGGTCTATACTGCCTGCAACTGAGCTATAAGAGGGTGGTGGAGATGGCGGCCGATAGTCGAGATTCTGAAATACTATATTATAGACCAATAGCGAATTAGGAGAAAATCTAAGAAAAACTGAGCCAAGACAGACAAAGTCATTTTATCTTTTTTTTCTTTTCTAAGAAGTCAAAGGCATATTCCGCATTTCGTATGCTGGAAAACTTTTTAAAAATGGATAGCAGGGTCCACAAGCACAGAGGCTGGCAATTCTTTGCAAATACAAATAAGGGACTAGCGGTCCAGCTTACTGGGCTAGCCGCCGTTCCCATTGCTCGCAGTGTAACAGCCAGGTGCATGCGCCTCCTCCCACATCGTGTTTTCTCGCGCGCTCTCTCTACTTTCTGGGCTATGTCCTTATGTCAGTCCATGGTCAACTTCACAAAAGAGGAGGGTCTCAAGTTTCGTTGACTTCTTTCTGTTTCTGCGTTCACTCCAACGCCCCTCCATCCCACTGATCTCGTTTTCAAGCTAAGTGATCACCAGTATTGACAACGGAGTGTGCCTTCGAAGGAGCCTTCCAGAAAGGTCGAAGAATTTACAAAAATTGCCTATCGGGGTTACAGTCGGTCTCCTGAAGGTGCGAATTAACATACAATTGACAGCCGACAGCACTTGCCCGGCTGGTTTAGCATTGGCTCACTCTTGGCGCAGTTGCGCGTACGCCGACGTCACTCGCCGCATCTATACGTGGCGAGTGATTAGATAGCAGAGAGAGCGTAGTGTTGAAGAGGGCACAGCGATGAGAGTCGCATCAATGCTCAAATCAACGGGCAAGGAAGGGTCCCATTTCTCGGGTTCTGGGCCGTTTCTCATGGTTTTTCCTTCTTTCGTGTACCACTCACCATCCTAACTTAATTTGAAATGGGTTGCTTTCAGCGTGAATTCGTCCTTTAAGCAATGTTAGTGCGATGCTCAAAGTATTAGTAACAATAACTAACGAAGACAAAGGAGAAGTAAAAACGAGTGTAGGTTGAAACTTGACAGCCGCGAGTTTTATGGGCGGTCCATCAAACTGACGCTCATGGCCCTTTTCCTGCTATGTACCTACGTGGTAGGGTTGCTACTTGCTCACATTTTGCTGATGTGCTGCTTTAGTCATTTAGCTTGCGTCACATTTATTCTCGAAGATGCGCTGCGTATAACAAGTTACAAACAGTAAATACAACGATGTTGTAGTCTGCTCGTGTTAGTTGGATCGCCATAAGCCGCTGTCGGAGTTCACGAATTCTTACAGCGATCGCTTTCGCCATAGTATGACACCCACCCATAAAGTTCCATGTAATTTCACAAAAGCATTTTTGCCTTGCTATTATTACTGTGCGATTTGCGAAATTTGGCACAGTGACTGTCCTGCAGAATATCATCTAGATAGTTAGACGTTTTTCAGTGTCGAACAGGGTTTTATATTGAAGCTATTGAGCTGACGTTCGGTTTAATTGGCCGAGTTCAAAGGCCTGAAGGAAGCATTTCAAAAGTTCAGACCTCAAGCTAGCTGAAAGAATAAAAGCTTTAGTATAAAACCTGTAGTCACGCTGAAATCGTTCTTTTTTTTTTTTTTAACATCTTGAACATGCTTAACGTTTTTAAGAAAGGCATAACTTGGACGATGCATTATCTATGATTTTTAATGAGCTATTTTCTCAATCAGAGAGCTCTACACTCTTCTAACACTTCGTCATTAGGGATATTATCCGCAGTAGAAAGTAAATTTACAAGGTAGGTCTCAGGGTGTGCCAGTTTTTTCCAAAAGACGGTCTTTTGCATGATATAGCGGCACATGTGGGGACCACAGAATCCGGTTGATTTTTCCTGAACGGCCCTCTGAATACCAAAAAAGGGGTCCCTTAGTCACACCTTTTTCACCAGTTTTTCAATCAAAGTCTATTTGTAAGGGTTACTGACGTTCCTAATCATGAATTTGGTACTAATTATTCATGCTAACTCCATTTTGCGCGAATTTGGAAACGTCAACACGAAATGCAAAAACTTGTCACCACGAGGAATCGAAACTAGGGACCCCTTTTCTGGTATTCAAAGAGCCTTCAGGAAATAAATGCTTTCGTGGCCCCATATGTGCACCCAGTAGTCAGCAAACATCATTTTGAAAAAGCTTGGCACACACTGAACGACCTCCCTTGTTAGCCTTCTCGGTCCCGAACCCCCTCCTTCTCTCCTCGTTACAATGCTCTCGTCCAAATTCTACAAGGAAAGATTTTGAAAAATGGCCTTTTATCTGACGGCTTATCGATCCATATACAATAGTTTGCATTTCATGAGCATGTTAGATGGATAACTTTCACCAAACCTATGAAACGTCTCGAAAAGAGGCGGTGTAGTGGTAAGTGGTGTCACTTACCACGGGTATGGAAAGGGAACTCTTCCAAAACGTTTTAACCCCTCCACTTCCTATAAATACGGCCCTCATCCTCTCCACCAAAATCGTCTCGATCACGACCTCTTTCGAACAATCGCAAATACACAAAACGGATCCTCACCTAAATAGCAGACATTAACCCCTCCCCAGCTTGGTGATTTCCCTGCTTACGATTCCCTATTACCTATAAAAACTTCCTCATTCCTCTCTCCACTCCTAAACAAAAGCAGATAAAGTAGATAATATATATCGATACAATTATAGGTGAAGCAAGGAGAGTTACGAGGACTTTCGGCTTCCATCATAGGTCATGAAAACTTATGCCGAACTTGAAACGAAGGTATTATCCGTTATCATGCATATCAATATAAAAGTTTGATAAACGTACCATGGGAGGAGCCGTCGGTAATATGGCATTATCGTAAGGACCTGCACATGAGCTGCTAATGGTTGGTATCAATGGACGTTGCTGCTCAGACACCTGCAAGGTTGACATTATTTTTGAAGCAAATCTTTTTCGAGCTGTGATAATTTTATAAACTGCTACCATCCCCCCCCCCGCCCCCCCCCTCACCAGGAAGGTCTTTCAGGACATGGAGCCCTTTTTGAAAACGGTTTTTTGCATGATAAAGGGGCACATGCATGGAGTACAAAACTAGGCTCCATTTTTTCTGAGCGGCCCTCTGGATGCCAAAAAAGGAGTGAAAAAAATTTCTTCAGAAATCGGAGTTTTCACACCTTCAACGTGGTTTATATCACTCGTTATGTTAAGTGGACGCACAATAGAAGGTTTTCTTCACCTGAACGTTGAAAACAGCGTGGAATAAAGCCAATACCAAAAATTGTATATAATAAGTGCTCAAAAGCACAAGGAAGTTTCATCAGAGTCGTTGACATTCATTGTACAGCGGTGGTCGGATGGTCGAGTGGATAGCGTGATGGACTCTGGTTGGCACGGTTTGTTCGAAGTTGTTGGTTCGGTTCCCCTCCATGCTCGGATTTTTGCATTTTTCCGATTATCACTTTTCTGCATTTGCATGTGCTTGCGCGTGAACTTAAAGCCTATAGGTGTCATTTCCAAGAACTTTCTCCCACAATTCTGCGATATTTCGTAGTACCATGTTTTTTCAGTTGTGTACGAAATTCCGTTTACAAGCAATAAATAACTAGCAGTTATGGTAAAACTCAATGAAGCATCTGAATCACAGGCGCGGATCACACCAACTGCATCTAACGAACGCCAGAAAAGTGAAGTTGTCATTTTCTTCGCAAGGAACACCTACTCCATTTCCCTTGAAGGCAGATTGCCGGCGTTGAGGAACGTCCAGGATGCTCGTCGACGTATGCCAGTGCCCACCCAGGCATACGCCATGCATCGACGAGATCAAGGGGTGATGCCAGATTGCCCCATGGGCAGGAACTGCGGTGGAAGTGTAACTATCAACCAAACGTGCCGCTTGCTATCATCTCGAAGCTGTCTCCAAGTGGGAAGCGTGCATGCCGTACTGACTATGGGCTAACCCATGGCCCAATTTTTGAATTCGGGCCGAAATCTTGATCTTCTCTAAAACTGCGGCTATAAGGGTAATTATAGGCGCTGATTACGAATCTGACGTCCATTTTTGATGGAGGCGCGATATTGCGCCATTTTAGCCTCCTCGGGCACCAACTCGGCGCCGCTTTAGCGCCATACAATTTTCGCCCCAATTCTGGGCAGAAAGCTAATCAGAAAGGTTGATGATGACCCTGATTGTAAGAACAGTACCTATTTTTATCGGCGGTAACATTTGGAGTCATTTAACATGCGCTAACATGAAATGCAAAATTTTGTCATCAGCCGGGACCGATCCCTCGACCAATTTTTCATACCTTTTTTGGCACTCACAGGGCCGCTCAGAAAAAATGGAGCCTAGTTTTGTACTCCATGCATGTGCCCCTTTATCATGCAAAAAACCGTTTTCAAAAAGGGCTCCATGTCCTGAAAGACCTTCCTGGTTAGAGAGGGTGCCATGTCAAGCGCTCACCATCATTTCCTGTCGAGCCTCGTAGGCACGATACTTCTCTAAGCATTTCTTCACATCTTCTGGATCCAGTGGTTTGTCGAGGCTTTCAGCTCGTGCTCGAACCATCGGACCAAAGCAGTCACAGAAGCATCCTCGAACCATCTGAAGCGGAAAAAATGTACACAATAGTAGAAAGGCATCAAGATGTCAAGCTCCAGCTAGCAGTTAATATTTTCAATCGATTTCTTGAGCTGCGCCATGTATTCGACGTTTACAAACAGAAATATGATTTCAGCATAGCCTCACACTTCATACGCCTCCGTGTGTTGAAACGCATGGTCAACGTATTCAAAAGGGCTTTACTTGATAGAACAAGTGAAAATTACGGAAACGCGATCCTATGATAGAAATCAAAAAGCGAAATCACGCTGACAGTGATGGAGCTTCTACTTAGGGAAGATCTCTATATACCTTCTAGGGATCCTACCAAAGAATTTACCAAGGTTAAAATTACGCAAGAAGTCGGGGATAAGAAGTTCTGCAAAGGCGGTGCTCCGCTTGTACTAGGTTCAATCGCACAACTTCCCCTGATTCTCTAAAAGGGATTAGTGTTTAGAATGAGGCACTTTTAAACTTTCCAGTAGAATCCAACAAGGATTGGCATGGAGGTGTGGTCACCTTCACTCCTGGTCCTGGTCATGAAATTGAACGCGATTCGGTCTACAGAAGAAGTTGCAGGCAGATCAACCGCGCCTAGACTGAAGGTATTCGACGATTCCTTATCCCTCTGACCCCGACATTACCGCAGCTATGGGATTCGATTCTATGAAGTGCCTAGCCAGCAGATTAGCCCGCCCCAAAAACTTTAAAGCTCCTCCGAAAAAGCCGTCGAGTGGAAGAAGAAGGTAAGTTAGAGGTGAATGCTGTCTTTCCGTCATTTCATGAACATTCGTGGAAAACTTCTCCGTCAAAACTTGCAAAAACTTCCCCTTTCAGTTTCAAAAAAGCTACTGCCAATCCAAAAAAGCTACTCCGCTCCCTCTCGCCTACAAATACGGCCTCATCCACTTTCACATACACCCCTCCAATAGGCGACTGTGCCTTGTTGCTTTCTCTATGTAGATAGAATTCCCATGAATAAATCGAATCCCATTCATGTGGTTCTGGCTGAGCCAGTCAGATTCCCGTCGTGGGAGCTTGCATTTGGCCCTGGAGTCTCGTTCCCCACTTTTCTTTTTTCTCTTTTCTTGGAATGATGATGAGGGTGCGGGTTTGGGTTTGAGAAGATAAAATTTCGAAGGCGGTAAATTTATTTTCTCGAGTATAGAGGAATACCTTATTCCTTCGAATGAATATTCATACACTGAAATTGTTAAATGGGAAAGGAAAACAATTTCCTGCACTTTTAAATAAATAGTCTTAGAGGCCAAGTTGAACTCAAATTGACAAAAGGCTCAAGATGCGCCTGGGTTGAAGCAGGACTGGGAGTGGGACGAGGTAGTGTGTCAACAAATAATCCGTGTAAACAGTGGCGGAAAACGGCTGTAAGCGGATGGTCTGCGCAGAGGATTACGGTAGACCAAGAGATACTACACAAATAAAAGAGCGAAGTGATCCTTGAGATAAGTGAGTTCAACCGCGAATTCCTTTAGTTACCCACGCATGCATTACTCAGCAGCGCTGACGATAACCAGGCGTATGATTAGATTTTTTCCGAAAAAAATGCATATTTTGAAAAGGATTTCTGGAAGGGATAGTGCTAAAATACGAAAGAATTCAGAGCGGCTTCAATAGTGACATATTGCGACATGTCACACTGAAAACCAATAGCCGCCGTGTGGCAGCGAGCGCCTGAGGCAAAAATGAGAAAAATCAATGGGAAACAAGCTGAGCACTGCGGGGGGGGGGAGGACGCACGGAGGTACACTAGTGGATTACAACAAGGTTTCAGAGATGCAGAGTGAAATGCTGTAGAAGCAAATCCTTCAGTTCAGGTAATGGAATGAACAAGGCGCTCTTAAAGGTACCGAGTACGATGAGCTGGATCAGCGTAGCAAGGGAGCAAAGCGAGCGAGCTGTGGCATTATTTGCGGCAAGGTGATTGCAAGCAGGGTCAACCGTCCGTTCGCACTGCTCCGAACAAGGGGGTCGCATTTGCGATTTTGAGAAGGGGGGTTGCGTTTTGCGATCGAGCAAGACTAACTACCCCTGGGAAAGGGCATTAACGGGGGTTTAAAAAGGGTGTGTATTTTTACAGGTTTTTCAACGAGCAGTTCACCCCGTTGACCCCCATCCCCTTCCGCACCAGTCAGACGGAGCTTTTGGAGGAAAAAGTGAAGCGGACTTAGGTGTGCGGTTGGTCTCAGAAATACAAACTATAGAAACAGCCACGATGGTGAGGTGATGATCGGTATAGGGAGGAGGGTTCTCATTGGAGAAAGTCTCCGAAGGCTGATGGTTGTGATGGGGGTCGCATCAAGACCTACCCCCCTAAAGGTAGGGCCGCAAAGTTTTCTGAAAAATGCGAACGCGACGGTTGACCCTGGATTGCAAGGTGACTCGTTAGGCTCCCTTTTATTCCCGAATTTGCCCAGCCTCCAGGAGCGGTTAGTAGCGTTTACGATATTGCCATCATTATCGTTCGATTTTGATTTTGAGAGGGAAGTTCGTAAAAAAAACGTGGTAAAAAAGGCTTTTCTGAGCCATGAACCCGTCTAGGATCAACAAACGACATGTGGGTCTGATTAGGTTTTTTTTCGAAACGATTTCCCCGCTTTCTTCATCAATAGCGCATCATTTAACCCCTTCGATTGAAATCTTCAAATCCGACCTCTCTTACAAAATACACAGAAAATGAGGAACAGAATGGCCCGAAATTTTTGTTAGAAAAAATTTCGCCAGTTTTGAATAAGGAAAGAGGATAACTTAGCGGGGTTCACAATCGATGTGCTTTCTTTCTCCTTGACGTTCGGCAGAGTCGATAACGAAAAAAAGTCTAGGTGTGCATCATGTTGCTTTATGGTTGAAAAGCCCCATAAAGAGGTTATCAGGGCGCCATTACAGAGCAAACAATGGCGTCTAACGGGCAGTCCTATTTTAAGCTGACGAAATGTATTTCTAGGTCAAGTGACATAGATAAGAGATGACGTAGATTTATTGATAGTCTCTGAAGAAATGCACGGCAAAATTGCTCTATTGGCTTGAAAATTTCAAGAACCCCAGGTGAGCGTGAGAATCTCGTGATCATTCAGGGTCGTCAAGAGGTTTGAGATGAGCCTCGCACATAGGCGTTCTTAAGAGCTCAATAAAAGTGGTACTGATCGATATTGGGGCTATGAAGTATCACTTGGAGTGAATACTAGTAGTTTGGAAGATTTCGAATACTTGAGTTATTCTTTTGTGAGGCTTGCTCTTTGGGAAGTATAAAAGGTTTTCTTTCTTTCGCTCTTTGTTCTCTCGCTCTTTCTCACATTCCCTTTTAGCTTGCCATAAAAAATAGTTTTACGCTAGAACTAATGAGTAAAAACAAATGGGTAGATTGGATAATTTCTCAGTATTCTGCATAGTACAATAAATAACTCTCTAATGAGTACTGAGCCTCCTTAGGCATGTAAAATCAAAACTCTACCTTTCTATAGAAATAGTAGCAATTTACAATAATAAAAATAAATATTATGCTGTGTCACTTGGTTCGCGAACATTTTTCACATTATAACTCTCCTTGGAGTCTATCTAGATCTGCAACAAAAAAATATAGAGCAAACTTGCAGTTTGAGACAGTGGCAAAAAGAAAACAACATGTCAGTAGCATTTTAAGCCGTTGGAAAAGCAGGCACCGCTAACACGCATGTGGCCATTGCTAACCAAATGATCACTGCGCTATGCTAGCCCACCCATTGAACAAGGCCTTCCATCCCACTCTAATAGATGCCAATCAATGCTAATATAGACTCGTCTAGAAGGATAGCTGCTTGAATTACTCCAACTGCCTTTTTCAGAGAACAGACTATCACACATACAACTGGCGCTTGCGAACTCAAATGCATGCGTGTAACACCCAAAAACGGTGGGAGTCGGTAAATCCATCGGGTGTCTTTCGCTATTTGCATTACAGGCTCCAGTTTGTAGAGAATCAAGGTTCATTCGTGGAACCTCATACAACATAAAAAAATAGTGGTAATGATATTGAAGGGCGGTGCGGTTTTGATGACGTCAGTAAGCGTGACAATTTGAAGAGCAGTGAGAGGTGGTTCCGCTCACCCCAACGACGCTCGAGGGGTTCTTTTTGAGGCACTTAAATTCAATGACTTGCCTCAAACTTGCACTGCCCTAATGGCCCTCTGGATCGCGGCCTTTGAGGGGAAAAGGTTCACGCTTATCTTGCACCTGGCCATAATTATATTCTGGTACATAACAAAAAACTCCACCAATGAAAAAGACAATGACTGAACAGTGCGAATAGGACGGCAGCCAAGATAATCACCATGGGTGGTCCGTGATTTTGAGCTTGGGCAAGTGTCAGTGGAAGTGGAACAGGAACTTCACAAGAATCACCAGTGAAGCCAAATGGGCATCTGTAATTGTAAAATTGAGGGGCCTGTTGACTTTCCCGATAATTGGAGACTGTGTGCAGAAAACCGACAAGGTCGCCTTAATTGAATTCCGAGTTACGCATAACGGTAGGTGGGAACCCAGCCTATTTTCCTGCTGTGGGGCACAGCCTTGTTTTCACAAGAATACTACCAAAACCTGGTTCGTCCGCAAGCCAGGTTTTGGTAGTATTGTTTTGGTAGTTTTGGTAGTATTCAGATTTGTGAAAATTCGAAAAATTTGTTTACATTTATTTACATTTATCTCTGCGTACAGTGAAAGTCATATAGTGATGGTGGAAGTCACAAATGAATGGAGTGTTTTTAGGGGAAAAGAGAATGCCATCAAAGCCTTCAGTCCGCTGTAAAGAAGTCAAAATAGAGTAAAACGAAAGCAGTTGGCAGGAAAAAAATTCCAAGCGGTTTTTCCAAAAGACTTCTGCGATAGGCGTGGTCACCGATCTCGTCACGAGTTCACTACGAGCACGAGGCTCGTTAATTCTCGACGATGTCCAGCCTTTTTGCCGCCGGAGGCGACCGCAGATCGATTTGAGACAGCGAGGATTCCCTCCT